GCAGATGGCACCATTGAACGTTACAAAGCATGACTAGTTATTAAAGGATTCATGCAACGAGAAGGTTTTGTTTATCATGAAACCTTTTCTCCAATTGCCAAAGAGGTAACTATTCGTTCTTTTCTATCAGTTGCTGCATTTCGTACTTGGTAATTACATTAGATGGATGTCCATAATGCTTTTTTTCATGGTGATATGGACGAAGAAATATATATGAAACTCCCACAGGATTTACGCAGATAGGGGGAGTCTCTGGTATGTCGTCTCCGTAAATCCCTGTATGGACTCAAACAGGCTTCTCGACAATGGTACGCCAAATTCACTATTGCGCTCACAAATGCAGATTTTAAGCACTCCAAGCATGACTATGCCCTATTCACATGGACCAAAGGTACTTCATCAATCTATGTATTGATACGTTGATGATATACTCCTTATGGGAAATGATGATTCCGCTATTAGAAAGTTTAAGGATTATTTGCGCTCTACCTTCCATATCAAAGATTTGGGACCTCCCAAATATTTTCTTGGTATTGAGATAGCCAGATCCGACAAAGGAATATGTCTAAGCCAGCGGAAATTTGTCTTGGAGATTATCTCAGAAGCAAGATCATCAGGATGTAAGCCAGCTGGTATTCCCATTGAACAGAATGTCAAGCTCACAACGCTTGAACATGATAAGAGCTCATCATCACCTAATGAGGACCCATGTAACATCCTCAATTTTCAGTTTCTGAGAAATGGCTATGGTTTAAGTTTGATGGTTTTTCAATCGAAGCCAATTTTACTCTTGTTCTGGAAAACCCAGATTCGGATCCTCTGTACCCCTTTCATTTGTTATTTTTGTGGAGACTTTTGTGATCCGAATTTCTAAAAACTTCCCCTTAAAAGTTTCTCCAAACATCTTGAAGTTTTACATGCTTTAATTTCAAAATTTTTGGACTTGATATGAGTAGTACAATAGCCTAATTTCAGACTGTGTAAAACTGCCCAGAATGGGTATTTTTGTGATGTTCACACTTTCTCAATTTTCTACAAACTTTTCTAGGCCAAATTTGAACAAACTTCCTTTACAAAATTTGTTGAGAACTTCTTTCTCTATAACATATATAAATTTGGGAATTTTTGGAGATGATTTGGATTCTAGAAAGAGCTTACTTTAAGAAGAAAAGATTCTGTTCCAGCGAACTATTTTTAGTCTGTCTTTGAGATACTAAAAATTGTAGTTACAGAAAGATTCAGATTTCGCGTTCTTCATGGAAAATGTTTGTTAAGGCCTTGTTTATGACATATTCAAATTTGAGAATTTTTTGAGTCCATTCACCATGTTTTCAAGTCCATTTTCGTGAACAGTGCAAAACTGTCTAGTTTTGCCAGATTTCAAAAATTCATCAATTTCTATATGAAAACATTAGAATTTCGATTTGATGTTTTTGAAAACAAAATCTATACATTCTGAGCTTTTAAATGAGAGATATGTGGCCTCAATTAAAGGCTTGCATAAGAAGCTTCTTGATGGTCAAGAACTTGGGGAGCAAGTTTTGACTTGGAAGAGTCTAGAGAGTCAAGAACTTGGGGAGCAAGCTTTGACTCTTAAACTTGGTGAACAAGTTAGTGATTTGCCTATAAATAGGCTTGGTTCCCCCCCTTAGTTTCCACATACCACTTCCTCGCCTCTCTCTCAACTCTCACCCTCATGCCAAACACTTCTCTCTCTCTCTCTCTCTCTCGCCATTTGCCGCCGCCGACCGCCGTAGACGTTTTCTTGTGATTATAGGTGAGTGAATTTCCTAACACTTGGATAGGGTAGCATGTTACGTGGTTGGAACGCGGCATGTAAGTGGATTCCCTAATTTCGGAATAGGAAGTTATGATGCGTTGTTGGCTTGAGTTCTCACCCGAGCCTTTGTTGAGACTTGCGTGTTGATGTTTGTCTCGATGTTGCACGCATCGCTTGTTACCATGCTTAATGTTCTCATCCGTGCTTGTTGATTTATAAGAGGATAGGACGTGGTGTTACGAGTTTGGCTCGAGCAGTGACCGTGTCTGTGATGCTCGATGTTTGCATGAGTGCTTATTGTTTTGCTTCATAATTGTAAGTCAAGGCACGTACGAGTCACGAAACAGGGTATCGTATGGTCTCGTACTCATGTTGTGGCATAACGGGACGAGTTCGGCTTGGTGCGGGTTTACATTGAGGTGTGTAGATCCAGGCCAAGTTTGGCTTCGAGCCGGCGCTCGGCATGGTGGACCGAACCACGTGCCCTCAACCGCGACCCGCATGTTTTGCGAATGTTCTAGAGATCACGATTACACAAGCACGGCACGCCTTCGGGCTTGATTGCATGGACTAATGAAATCAAGATAATAAACAGGCTTGTGTGACCCATGATGTGTGATCACTAAATAAAAGAAGAAGACTGTCGTCACATTGGCGACAATGCCTCGGTAAACTAGCCCCGGGATGCTTGGGTTGAGCCTGGATGCCTCGGTAAACTAGTGCCGGGATGCCCTAGTTGAGCTAGGATGCCTTGGTTGAGCCCGGATGCCTGTGGTGAGCTAGCCCCGGGATGCTTCAGTTGAGCTAGGATGCCTTGGTTGAGCCAAGATGCCTAGCATGAAGCTAGATGACTCGATTGAGTCGGAATGCCCTTATTGAGTCAAGATGACGATAAATGAATTTTATATGTATGCCGGTATGTAATAAATGAATTCTATATGTGTGCCGAATTTATGTGACCGGATAAATGTGAGTTTCCATGTGAACATAGCAAGGGTAAGGTCAAAGTCTTTGCTATTGATTTGCCATCGACATAAGGCGGGAAAAATATTTGTATGCATTAGTACAACGACGAGGCATCATCCTGCACAAATATTAGTGAATTTACTCATTGAGTCTCCCCGACTCATCCCCCGTTGTTTTCCTTTTCAGATCCGTAAGATGGAGGATGACATAAAGGAGTTAGGATTAACCTCGGCCTTCGCTTGTGATATGATTTGTACGTGGAACGGCCTGTGGAAAAAAGGGCTTGTAAAATATATTTAAGTAAAATGGCAATAATTTGTCTTATCTGTTATGCTTTGCTTGATTTCCAGCTGTTATTATGGGAATTTGTTTATACACGTTTCCGCATGTGCTTAATAATCAGATGAAAGAAACGGGACGGCGACAAGCCTGTAATGTCAAATTAATAACCCCGAGGTAAGATAAGGACGTTACAACCCACCACTTAAAGATCCATCAGGATATTAGCTACTCGTGGGGAAATTAATTTATCTCACCATGACCAGGCCTGATATATGTTATATGGAAGACAAAGAAACAATCAACTGTGTCTTTATCATCAGGTGAGTCATAATATCGAGCTATGGTGAAAACTATTTGTGAGATAGTTTGGATACGAGGTTTGCTATTGGATCTTGGGGTACGAATTGATGGACTAAGTGAACTATTTTGTGACAATGATGCAGCACTAAAATTAGCAGCAAACCCAGTTTTTCATGAAATGACCAAACATATAGAAGTTGACTGTCACTTAACTCGAGAAAAAATTCAAGAAGGGATCATTACAACTCGAGGAATTGGAACTGTGGAATAGCCTACAGACATCTTCACTAAGCCTTTGTTCAAGAGACAGCATGCGTATCTACTAAGCAAGTTGGGCGTCTTTGACATATACAAGCCGCCAGCTTGAGGGAGAGTGTTGGAGAAAGATATGATTTGATGCTTGACTCCGATTCTAATCACGGAGATTGAAGATTAATTGATTTGATCAATCGAGATAAAATAGGAAAATGTATCATGTTTATTCTTTCTTTGATTTCCTTCTGTACTATAAATAGTGGTATGTACATGTGCATAATACATAAGACAGAATACACAAATTTCCAACATTCTTCCTTCTTTATAATTTCTGTCAATTTTAACAAGAGAGGGCGTGACACAAAAATCTAATCGGCTCTCATGATGAATCTTTCTCCAAGTCAATGGGTATCAAGATCACTCGAACACCGTCTGTTAATTATATATGCTTTGAGTTTCTTTGTGTGAGCTCAAATGATTCATGAAATTTTTCGAGATAGATATGTAAAAATTCGAGCTGAGGAATTTTTGGAGATACGCGATGGAAGCGAAGGGCTCAAGCGACATGGATGAAAGTGTGTTTTACCGTTATAGGGTAAATATCCGTTAAATGATAAAGTATATACGAAAAAGGTAATTAGATGAAAAAAAGAACAAATGGAGTTGATGGCAACATTGATGAATCTATGCAGGTTACGATCGATATTAAGCCTCGTTCGGTCGGAACTTGGCAGTATTTCCAAGTTTGGACCGGCTCACTTGCCGTCGAACCGGTCAGTTGGTCTTGGATAACCTTAGATATGGTAATTATCCTGTTAAGTGTTAAGCACATCAAATTTGACATTAAAATGCATCTTTTACATCCCAAAATCATCAAAGTTGTCAAAAAAATATCATAACTATCAATGTTATCTGCCGAAATGTTTGTTGGCCTAGGCTAGCTCTTTCGAGACTCCATGCATTTAGATTTAGACTAGGTCGTCACCTTTAATTTGTACTTTCTGCCCTTTAGTGGGTGGTCAAAGCAATGCATGAGTACAAGAACTCCATCTTGCACATGAGTGATGAAAAAAGCGAGAGTGAGTCGATGTAATGCATGAGGATTGAGTACTAAGAACGCCATATTGCACACAGCTAAGGCAAAAGTCCAACGAGCTCCTTCTCAATCTAGGGGAAATCTACTCTAAGGTACAATGTCTCCCATACATTGTGTACTAAAGCACATGATCCGATCAGTTCAAATGCACTTGTTATTTGGTGTCTGAACTTTACTCAAATCTAGTATCTTTACCTTCTGATTAAGAATCATAAAGCCCTCGATGAAGCTGAAAAGACAATGCTTTTCTTCCATAAAATCTCCCCTTCTCAATCATCAATGTCATGTGTTAACTAATTGACATACCAAAAGTTGACCAGAATGTGCAATCTTATGCTTGCTTTGCTCATCTTCGTGTTGGGTCTTTCGTCCCTGGAAGTCTTGGCTCAACCTTTTCACACTCAAGTTACGTCCCTCCACAGGGACCCCAACAGTTCCCTCCACACCATCACCCTCACGCTGAACCCGTCCGAGCAATATCTTGTTGATCTTGACGCCCCTTTCATCTGGAACCTATGTGATTCGCCGCAACCCACGGTCTTTTGTGGCGAGCCCAAGTTCTTGACCACTCGCAGTTACATCTCTCTGCTATGCCCCTAGACAAATAGCACAGATGGCCAGTTCTCTTGCTGTGACACACCTGTGAACCCGATCTCCGGGTCATGTGCCTCATCTTATTTGAGTCTCAATGTTCTCACAGTATATTGGACCGCCGGTAGATCTCTCTCTGAATACAGGATACAGTACTTCAATCGGTATGTCTTGTCTGCTCCATCATCTCTCTTGCAATCTCTTCCAGCACAAGCAATCGGTGTCGCTTCATTGTCGTGGTCCACTCTCTCTCTACCATATCAATTTACCAAAGATATCCACGAGATTACACAGAAATTCTCCCTTTGCCTCTCGAGCTCAACTGATGATCAAGGAGTCATTTTCTTCGGTGACGGTCCATACTATCTTGAACCTCCGGCAAACTTTGATGCTTCAAGCGTACTTTCCTACACCCCATTGATGAAGAATCCCCCAACGCTGGGATATTTTATCAATGTGACGGGGATATCGATCAACCGAAAGGCCATTAGGGCTCCAACGAACATGTTTGCGCTTGACAAAAATGGAGGCGTGAAGCTCAGTACTACACTGCCGTACACTACCCTTGGGAGTGACATTTATAGTGTCTTCATAGGAGAATTCAAGAAGGCTCTGAAAGGCATCCCTCGAGGGAAGAAGGTGAGTCCATTCGACTTTTGCTTAAAGACGAATGTCACGCGACAGAAGAAGGACGAGAGCATTCCTCGAATTGATCTAGTGCTAGGAGATGGGGGGTACTGGACTATTCACGAATCTAATCTACTGAAACAAGTGGACAACAATGTAGCGTGCTTGGCATTTGTCGACGGCGGACACAGGGCGGAGCATGCAGTGGTGATCGGGACGTACCAAATGGAGAATATAATGTTGCAATTTGATTTGGTCCAGTCGAGATTGGGATTCAGCTCTTCCTTGTCCTCCTTTGGGAGCTCATGTGGTAACTTCGATTTCACCGTTCGGCCTTGAGCATTTCTTTGCTTCTCAAGGGAAGTTCGATCATAAAGAACGAGCTACGTGCCTTTTCTTGTATGCAAAATAAAGTGCCCATGTCCTAGACCAACTCTCTGTCTGGGAAAGTCTCATGTAACGAAAGCATTTGCGTATGATCATCCGTTCTATCGTCTAAAGCGACGACACATCCCATTTTTAAGGATCTCAGTTTCAGGCGTTTGGCGCAACTTTTGCCCAAAAACTTTGTACTTGTGCAAAGGACATTGATTCAAAGAACTTTAATGAAAAGCAAATAATATTTTTGCACGTTGGATTAACAAGTAGAAATCTTGCTCTGAGCCAAAGAAAAGAACTATTATAAACATTTTGCTTAAATAAAACCGTATACCAACTTCAGAAGAACGAATTATTGAATCCACGAGCAAATGCGTAAGTTAACAATTCTGTCCGACAACAATCTTTCTCGAAGGATTTCAAATCTTGAATTTCTTATTTTCTTTTATCTTTCCACATATTTTTATACGTTTCATTTGTAAATTGTGTAACTATTATAAAGAGTCCCTCCCACACCTTGTCTATCCCAAAGACAATTGTCTCTTTCCAAAGTACAACATTTTTTCTTGTGGGTTGACAAATGGCCGGATATTATGCTCTAATAATACTATGATCATCCCTCAATAGGCTTACAACTAAGAGACAAGAGCAAGACTCAAAAACCTCTCAAATACAGTCCAATTTCTCACGTCCCCATATTCTTTCAAGGACCATTGTCCAGTGTCCAGCACAAGTTTTAACGTATTTATAAGCCTCCAACTTTTTTTTTGATCAAATTTAATCCTCCAACTTCGAACGTTTGCTTTTGAGTCTTGTAGTTGTTATATCCATCTGTTTCTGCCCATAAAATTCGGAAAGTTACGTCTATGACCCTTTTTTTAAGTTTATAAATGGAACACATTTACTCTAAGTTCTCGGCTTCATGTACGAAAGCAATTGAGTCCTAAACTTCTGTACCGACATAATCAAATCCTTATTCTTTTTGGAAAAAAAAAATGTAATCAGGTCCAGATGAAAAATATTGAAAGTTGCACTACTAAAGAATGGGAGAATACGGGATGAGCAAAACTGTCGTAAAATATGTAAGCTTTTCTTGCTATAATACATTTGATGTTAAATCATGATAATATTAGTTTAGGATTTTTAATCTTTTGGACATGTGCTTTTAAGGAAAGTAACACCCAATTTTTCCTTTTCGACAGTTCGACCTATAATTTCTCATTTATGGATGTTGATAAGATCCTTACATTTAGCAGCACCTTATGATGGCATAGCCTTAAAGTGAAGGGCGAGGTTCAAATGAGGAAATGCTTACGGTGGATATGTAGGCACCCATAGACAAGGAAGGGTGTAGTAATCGACATAATGTTTCGGGGAGTTGAAAATAAGCATAGATCCGGAGATTCCGGAATTGGTCAGCCTTTGGAAGTGGTGTTGATCCATGAGCAGGCAAGATACAACTTAACGAATTGAAACATCTTAGTAGCCAGGGGAAACGTAAGCAAAAGCAATTCCCGTAGCAGCGGCGAGCAAAATGGGAGCAACCTAAAACGTGAAAACAGGGTTGTGGGAGAGCAATACAAGCATCGTGCTACTAGGCGAAGCAGTGAAATATTGCACCCTAGATGGTGAGAGTTCAATAGCCGAAAGTTTTATATATATATATATATATATATATATATATATATATAAAATTTCCATTTCCATATATTACTAAAAAAGAGATATTTCGATTCCCTTTGAATTGGCTTTGGATGTTTTGATGAGCTCTACTTGATGATGTTCCCTCTCTTATTCTATGTAAACTTTGTCTAATCCAGCGAAAGATGAACTTATGTTGGGAAGGGTTTCATGCATTTTAGTCTAAGTCAATCAGGTTTCAGACAAAACCTCATATTTTTGTCACCGGACTAAAAGAAGACAAATGGTCGGTGATGGTATCATGTCCACGAAAGATCGATAAATCTTATGTTATTCCCACCGTCGTCTGGTTCTCATTAGAGAGTGCCTGCGCCTACTGGTCGCCTCAGCTGTAATCAATGACAAGGAATTATTCATGGAGAAGACAACGAAGCAACGTTAGTTGCGTATTAATTAATTGCTTATTTGCTGACCGATTAATTAAGGGATAATGACACAAACAGTCCCTGAACTTTGGCTTAATGTGCAATTTGGTCCCTGAACTTTTAATTTGTTCAATGTAGTCCCTGAACTTTAACTTAATATTCAAATGTAGTCCCTGAACTTTAACTTAATGTTCAATGTGGTCCCTGAACTTTTAGTAAATGTTCAATTTAGTCCCTGAACTATATGAAAATATACAATATAGTCCCTGAACTTGAATTAATGGAAGGACTACATTGAACATTTTTATAAAGTTCAGGGACTATATTGAACATGTACCAAAAGTTCAGGGACCACATTGAACAAATTGAAAGTTCAGGGACCATATTGAACATTGGGTTAAAGTTCAAGGACTATATTGAACAAATTAAAAGTTCAGGGACCAAATTGCACATTGAGTCAAAGTTCAGGGACTGTTTGTGTCATTTTTCCATTAATTAATTCTTGACCTAGAATAAGATCACATGGCCTAAAGGCATATACCACTATTTTAATTCCTATTAGAGGCCATGATCTCTTCCTTCTGTCTCCCCCAATCAAGAAAGAAAAAGCATCCCCATCCACTAATCTTTCTTCTCTATTAACAATGACCACGTTAGCGCCGACCGTATCATATAAATTGACCGGTGTCCACTTTAGCAGTTTCTTGCCAAAATTAGCCATATGAACTCAATTGCCAAAACCTGAAAATGTTTAGTACTAAATTGGCACAATTGAAATGTTTAGGTCTGAATTAGCACAAGTGCAATAAATTTAGAACTTTTTTTTGGTAATTATCCCTGTTATTATGTCCATATAGATCGATAAAGAGGTGCAATTTCAATGCAATTCTGGTGGAATTTTTTTTAATTCGTATGTTATCAACACCGTCATCTCGTTCTCACTAGATATTGGCAACACGTACTGGTCGCCTCACTAATAATCAATGACAATGAATTATTCATTGAAAAGACGACGAAGCAACATTAGTGCTCATTACTAATTGTATATTGTCCACTACGAATTTGACGAACTTTTGAGGGTCAAGTCAAAGAAATCGACCCCGTTTCTCAATTGTGAGACAAGGAAAGAGTTTGACGGATGTCTCAGCCATCGCCTTTATCAATTGCTTATTTGTTGGCGCCTGATTAATTAATTCGTGATAAAGGATAAGATCACATGGCCTAAAGGCATATACCTCTATTCAAACCCCTATAAGAGGACATGATCTCTTCCTTCTATCTCCACCAATCTAGAGAAAAGCATCATTATTCACTTATCTTTTCTTCTTCTATTAACAATGGCCACTTCCTCTAGTTTCATTTTCTGTTCTTTGCTCCTGTGCTTAGTCTCTTCCCAAACCCTAGCCATCACAAGTTTTCAGCCCAAGGCACTTGTTGTTCCTGTGACCAAAGACTCCTCAACGCTCCAATACACAACCCAAATCAAGCAAAGAACACCACTTGTGCCCATTAAGCTGACCATTGATGTGGGTGGGATTTTCCAGTGGGTGGATTGTGGAAGTGGGTATGTTTCATCTTCCTATAGGCCGGTCTCTTGTGACTCTCCAATATGCAAGGCTTCAGGGTCAGGTGCTTGTGAGACAGAATGTTACTCTCCTCCTGGACCCGGGTGCTACAACAACACCTGCAGCCACATCCCTAACAGCCCGTTTAGCAGCATAGGCTTCGGCGGTGGCGAGATGGCCTCCGACACCACCGTTGTTCAGTCCACTGATGGGAGGACGGTCGGGAAGGCGGTTGTGGTGTCAGCGGTAGTCTTCACGTGTGGTACAACTTCACTGCTTGAGGGCCTGTCTGCTGGTGCTCTGGTGAGTTTCCTATGATTAAACAGTCAATACACGACAAAAGAACACATGACAAATCGCATATATAACAAATGAGATACTGGTTGACAAAACAAAGAGGTTTCTGTTTTAACACGTTTACAGACGAGTTGTTTATCTCTCTATCAGTATTCATAAGGTTATCTGTGCTTTAAAAGTAGAATTATCAGTCAACAATACATGAAAAACCGGAGGAATTATCTTTCTTGTAATTTTTATCACGACACATCAGTGTGCGTTTGTTGAACATGTTGGCAAAAGGTTCTTAATCTTTGTTCTAGCACTACTAACCAGTACCTATGGAAGTACGCACAAATATGATAGGCGAAAACTGATTGATACTTTCTTGCACTCTAGGGAATGGCCGGGCTCGGACGATCTGAAGTGTCGCTCCCTGTCCAATTTGCTTCTGCTTTCAAATTTTCCAAAAAATTTGCCATGTGCTTGAGCTCTTCTTCAAGCTCCAACGGTGTCATATTCTTTGGTGACGGGCCTTATGTGTTCCTCCCTAAAGTCGAGGTCTCTAAGTCACTCATGTACACCCCATTAATCCTCAACCCAGTAAGCACTGCAGGATCTTATTTCGAGGGTAACCCATCAACGGACTACTTCATAAACCTCACCTCCATCAAGATCAATGGAAAAGCAGTCCCGCTGAGAGCGGCCTTACTGAACATCACTCAAGGAAACGGAGGGACGAAGATCAGCACTGTTAATCCATACACAGTGATGGAAACCTCAATCTTCAAGGCCTTTGTGAAGGTGTTCAGACAAGAAGCCAAGAACTTGACTAAGGTCTCGTCCGTTAAGCCATTCAAGTACTGCTTTAGCTCCAAGAACACTCCGAGCACAAGAGTGGGACCAGCTGTTCCGATCATTGATCTGGTGATGCACAGCAGCAGTGTTTATTGGAGGATCTTTGGAGCGAATTCAATGGTGCAAGTGAAGGAAGATGTCATATGCTTGGGTTTCGTCGATGGCGGCTCGAACCCAAGGACATCCATTGTTATTG